TAAACAATTGTGGTCAAGTTGTCAAAAAATAAAATCATCTGCGTGGTCAGCAAGAGCGCTCGATCGCACGCCATTCTTGTCCAAGCCTTATATATATATATATATATATATATATATATATATATATATATATATATATATATATATATATGCATATATATATATATATGCATATATATATATATATGCATATATATATATATATATATATATATATATATATATATATATATATATATATATATATATATATATATAACATCCTAGTCGCGACTTTTTAGGAGATGTTTTTTTTGTTCCGTTCTGTTTTTTTTTTTTACTTTTTATACTATTTTTATTATATTTATATATTTTTTTTAACTTTTACTTTATTTTCATTTTTATTTATACATATTTAAATTTATTTTATTATAAAAATATAGTTTTTGTATAATTTTTATTTATTTATTTTATATTATATTTCATTTTTAACTTCATCTATTTACAAAAACGATTAATTACAATAATATAACCAAATTTAAACCATACCTTAACCCTAACCCTAAGTCTGACCTTGATGTCTGGCCTAACTAAACCCTCAATTGATGTGGCAGCACTCCCTTGCGAGTCAGGCTATTTGATAGTCGATTTATGTACTTTTTGTTCTCTATAAAAGTTTCTTATGGGTATATTAGTATGGATTATTTTTTTACAAAAAAAATAATCCTTACGGGGACAAAAAACTAACAGGTACACTAAAATGTCCCCAATAATGCTAATGTCCCCGAAAGTGTTTGTTTTTTGTAAAATTTGTCCCCGTCAGCGAAAAACTATGCAAATATACATATATATATATATATATAAATATATATATATATATATATACATATATATATATATATATATATATATATATATATATATATATATATATATATATATATATATATATATATATATATATATTAGGGTGTTCCAAAAAACAGCATTTTTGAAAATAATCTGCTCTCACCCCCTAAATGTGTTCTATCTAATACAAAAACACTAGGTTTAAAATTTTTTTGAATAAAAAATATTTTAGGGGGTCCCTCAAGACCCTCGAATATTTAATGGGTCCCTAATATTTTCAAAAAAAAGTTTTTCAAAAATATGTCAACCTGGTACTCAAATGAAGCGAAATTATATAAAAATTTCAAAAATAATATTCATTTCGAAATATTAGTAAATATTTCGAAATATTAAACATTAGAAATGCATTTTTTTCATTTTTTCTTAAAAAAAGCAATTTTTTATGTAATAAAATTAATAATAACAATTTTGTTTCGAAATGAATATTATTTTTAAAGTTTTTATATAATTTCGCTTCATTTAAGTACCAGGTTGACATATTTTTGGAAAACTTTTTTTTCGAAAATAATCGAGAAACATTAAATATTCGAGGGTCTTGAGGGACCCCTTAAAATAATTTTATTCAAAAAAAATTTAAACCTAGTGTTTTTGCATTAGATAGAACACATTTAGGGGGTGAGAGCAGATTATTTTCAAAAATGTTGTTTTTTGGAACACCCTAATATATATATATATATATATATATATATATATATATATATATATATATATATATATATATATATATATATATATATATATATATATACACACATATATATATATACATATATATATATATATATATATATATATATATATATATATATATATATATATATATATATATATATATACATATATATATATACATATATAAATATATATATATACATATATATACATATATATATACATATATATATATATATATATATATATATATATATATATATATATATATATATATATATATATATATACATACATATATTTATATATACATATATACTAACATTCGATTTTTTTGGTTGTGAGAGGCATAAAGGTTACAAATGTTTTGTGTGCTCAGCGATTTTTTGCTATTAAAAAATATAGATCAAAGGATTTGCATCAAATTTTGTGTAAAAAATAAAATAAAGTGCTCCAAAACACCTGAAATGTTGACAGTAGCATACAGTGAAACTGTTCTGAGTAAAAAAAATGTTTACAAGTGGTACAAACTCTTTCAAGATGGCCGGGAAGATGCCAATGACGAGCCTCGCTCTGGACGCCTAACCAGGTCAACAACTGATGAAAACATTCGAGCAGTAAAAAAATTGTTTTGAAAATCGTCGAATCACTATTAGAGAAGTTGCTGATGATGTTGGTATATCGCTTGGCTCGTGCCATGAAATTTTTTCTAACGTTTTGGGCATGAGATGTGTGTCAGCGAAGTTTGTTCCGAAATTACTTAATTTTGACCAAATGAACCGTCGCATGAGCATCGCTCAAGAATTGTTGAATGACATCAACGACATCCCAGATTTACTCAAAAGTGTCATAACTGGTGACGAATCATGGATATATAGTTATGATATCAAAACCAAAGCCCAATCGTCCCAATGGAAGAGGCCAGGTGTGCCAAGACCGAAAAAAGCATGCCAAGTTTGATCAAATGTCAAAGTTTTGCTCACTGTTTTCTTTGATTACCATGGCGTGGTGCATCAGGAGTTCTTACCATATGGTTCTATGGTCAACAAACAGTATTATCTTGAAGTTATGCGCCGTTTGCGAGAAACAATACGAAGAAAACGTCCAGAAAAACAACTCATGGCTTTTGCATCACGATAATGCCCCTGCTCACTCATCTTTGCTTGTGAGAGATTTTTTGGCCAAAAACAACACCACAATTATGGCTCAGCCACCATATTACCGGATTTGGCCCCATGTGACTTTTTCTTGTTCCCAAAACTTAAGAGACCCATGAAAGGACGGAGATTTGTAACGATTGAAGAGATAAAGACTGCATCGCTGGAAGAGCTTAAGGCTATACCGAAAAGTGCTTATGAGAAGTGCTTTGAGGATTAGAAAAACCGTTGGCATAAGTGTATTGTATCTGAGGGGGATTACTTTGAGGGGGACAAAATAAATATTGATAAATAAATAAATATTTTTTCTTAAAAATACAAATTACCTTAATTTTTGAACACACCTCGTATATATATATAAAGAATGAGAGAAAGTAATAGATGTAGGTGTATTTTATTATACTCACTTAAAAGCATAGTTATTCAAATGTTTAATTATTTTAAGGATCTGGTGACAAGCATTTAAAAATATTTGATATTAACAATCCATATTTACCAGTGTATTGCTCAAAACGAGGTAAATTTGTGAAATTTTTTAATTACAAGTTAATGTTTTATTTATTTATTAAAAATTAACTTTTTGAAGATTATGTTATTAAAAGATTTTAAAAAGTATGATTTTAAAAAGCAACTTTGTTTGTTAAATTTTTTGTGCGTGTTTTTTAGAATCAATATTTCACCTTGAATGGCCAAAAAATAGGATCGGGTTGTTTGTGTCTTCTGATACCTGTTTTAATGTTTTACCAGGATCTGCTCGATATTTAGTTCTTGAATATTTTTTTAATTTGCAAAAGTGCGAGGCTGATTCAATTCATTTAACAACTCGACACAATGCTGCTGTTTTAGTGGGTTTTTAATTTTTATTTTAACTTACTTTAACTTTAACTTTAACTTGCTTTATGTATGTATATATTTGAAAAGTTGCAAAAACTCTTGCTTTTTTTTTAGTAAAAATATTTTTTTTTAGCAATTTTTAGTTTTTTTTTTGACATAAATTTTAGAATGTTTATTTTTTTTATTTTAGTATATTTTTAATACATGATCATTTTGAGCACAAATACATTTATAAACACCTATTTATAATTAAAATAAAAATTAAGTTAGCTTCAAGTTGGTTATAAATCTAGGTTTACTGTATGGGAATGTTAATGTGTCATGTTTTATTTCCTATCTAATGTGTTATTCTCCATTATGTATTGAAACTATAATTGTTCTGTAAAAAAATTTCCATTTTAATTTTGATAATGTAAATATATTTGTAAAAATTATACCATGGCAATTTAACATCAGACTTCAAATGCTCAAAGGAATAAGCAATCTGTTATGACTGTTTATTTTTTTGAGCATTTGTATATCCTGTAGTAATTTAGTCTTACATTGTTTGCTTGTTATACTTGTCACAAAAATATATATTGTGTTTATATAAAAAATACCCTGCGTATATATAATAAAAAGCCTTATACTTTACTTAATTTACAGGAAAAATTAAAAAATTTTGAGTTAATAATGTTTTATTATTTTAAAATAGTTATCAATTTGTCAAAAGTGCAAAATAGTTTTGTACATAATTAAAATAAATAAATATTTAAACAAATAAAAAGCAATAATTTAGTAATTTCATCAATTAAATTTATATAAGATGATATTAAATAATTTATAATTTCATCATTTGTTTAAATTATATAAGATAATATAAATGTTGGCACCTGTAAAACAAATATTATTTACAGTACTACTGTATATAATAAATAAAAATTTGAATTTAAAGTATTATTTATGCAGTAGCATTATGTTAGTGTTACTGCATTAGTTGGAGTTTTTCTGATTTTATGTATCCCATATCCAAACCAGTTTTATCTAATGATTCATAAATTATTTATTCATAATTTATCTTTTTTATCTGCATTTTTTACATTTATATATATATATATATATATATATATATATATATATATATATATATATATATATATATATATATATATATATATATATATATATCCTTATAGTGTAGTTGAAAGAAACTTTTATGGTAAAAAAAAGTCTCTTTTGACAACAATTTTTTTACCTTGTCTCTTATTTTACTGTCGTCGAAATGTCAAAGCAGTTAAATTAATGCGGAAGTACATTAAATTTTATTGTTTTTTAAAAAAACCGCTATAATAATGACTAGAAAGTTTTTTTTAATTAGTGGTGTTTTTTTTTTTGTTTTATTAAAAAACATTTTTAAAACATGCGTAAGTGTTGCTACATCCACAATTTTATAACCTGCTGCTACAAGGGAGTGTTACTACGTCGTCTATCTTATAGCCTGACTTGCAACGGAGTGCTGCTACATCGACTGACAAATAGCCTGACTTGCAACGGAGTGCCGCTACATCGACTGACAAATAGCCTGACTCGCAAGGGAGTGCTGCTACATCGACTGAGGGTTTGGTTTGGACAGGCAGTCTATCATTTAAAAAAAAAAATTTTTTTTTGAAATTTTTTTAACATTTTCTGGTCAGGCTTATTAACGCACTCTTTGAAACAACAGTTTATGGGGAAAACTTTGTGATTACCATGCAAGGCTATATATATATATATATATATATATATATATATATATATATATATATATATATATATATATATATATATATATATATATATATATATATATATATATATATATATATATATATATATATATATATATATATATATATATATATATTACAATGCTTTTACAATGCTGTGGTTATTTTTTGTGATTAATTTAAGTATAATTTTGTGATTATTTTAAGCTTAATTGTCCAAAAGTTAATTCCTTAGATTTTATTGCAGAAAAACTACAGTTTTTTATTAAAAATAAAAAACATAAGTTTTTTAAATTCTATATCTTTTTATTTAAATATTTATATATTTTTAAATTTATTAAGTTATTATCTTTTAAAAAATTTTTTTTGCAATTAATTTTTTTTTTCCATATTTTTTATAAAATTTCCCTTTATATAAGTACTAGGCCTATTTTCAAAGAACTTCAAAAAAAATATATTAAACTTAAATTAGGCTTAAATTAATTAAAAAAGATAACCACAGCACATGAAAAACACTGAGTTTTTTGTTTAAACACCTTTACTTCCAAAAAGGCTGCAAGCAACTACTTTTTTGGTATGGAAGTTACTGGAAGAGATAAGATGAAGTTTATAAAACAAGATAATGATTAACAGACGACTTAAAATATTCCAAAAATATGAATCAGGAAAACAAGGAGATGGGAGCAAATTCCAAATAGCTGATATTTGAGGAAAAAAACTAAATAAAAAAGAATTTTTGCAGCACTTTGGAACATTTACAGTTAAAGGATGAGGCTTAATTGAATGATGAGTTTTAGCATGAGAATCAATATTAGTAGATAGTACAAGAGACACAGCACCTATTTTATAGAAATTATATAGAAACTTTTATAGAAAAAGCATTAAAAGAAATAGAAGCAACATAACAACAATATAACAATAGTTGCCTGCAAGAGCAGGTATGTTTACGATGCGTTTTTGCGCTTTGTCTAAAAGAAAAAGGGCATCATTTGAAGATCCACTCCAGATATAACATTAGTATTCCATACAAGGACAGATAAGAGATTTATAAAGATAAAGAATAGAATCCTGACTAAGAAAGTAGCAAGCATGATAAAGAGATGCAACCTTAGCAAATGCTAATATGCAATGGATTTGGTATATAGTTTCCGAGGAAGATTGGAGGTAAGAGTTAATTCTAGAAGATAAAGGGGAAAAAAAAATGAGTTTTATCTGAGTTAAAGTTCACAGAGAGTCCTGTGCTGTTGCAGATATAAAATCTTTTTTATGCTCAAATACCCTTCTCTTTCTCTTCCCCCCCCCCCCCTCTTTCCCCCCTCAGAAAGTTATTAGATTTAAGTAGAGAGATTAAGTGTTTGTTATTTAAAAGCTCAAAAACCTTGCTTATGATAGCAAGAAGACTAATGGGACAGTAGTTAGATGAGTCAGATTTCTCTCCAAAATTTTTGAAAATAGGGATAGGAGATGCTGCTTTCCAGCAGGCTGGAAAACTAGACTCTAATAATAAGCACTTATAATATAGTTTTGAAAGTATAGACAACAGCTCCGGAGAACACTTTTGCAGGACTATAATAGGTATGTTTTCCAGACTACAAGCTGTAGAAGAGTCTAAGGAGGAAATTACTTTAGATACAGAAGCTAGAATGATACAATTGTCAAGCAATGGATCAACCTGTTTGTCAACTATACAGGTAAGATGTAATTAGTGAAGGTAAGATGTAATTAGTGAAATCAAGAGGTGAGATTGGTGAAAATTTCTTAGCAAAGAATTTAGCTTTGTCTTTAGGTGTGATGACAAATCTGAACCATACAAGAGAGGTGGAATAACAGATTTGCCCTTTTTATAGATACTGTTAAAGATTCTCTAGAAGTCATGAGAGCCTAATTTTTGAAATGAAATACAAGATTTTGTGAGAATAGCAGGCTTTGGCATTAGACAAAACTTGTTTACAATGGTTTCTAGCAATAGTTAACAGACTGTTTTCTGGAGAATAGTTTTGCTGATAGATATGAAAGTAATGGTTTTGATTAGAAGGTTCAGCAGCACAATGAGAGGAAAGCTATGGAAAAAATTGAGGCTTGACTTGGAATTGTTGAGAGGTAATAAAAGATTCCATACCAGCCCGAATCCAAAAAGTTAAATAAAAAGCGCATTTATCAGCAAGAAGAGAAAAGATTTTCAGTTTATCAGCAAGAAAGATTTTCACCCAAGGGCCATCACAAAGAAAATCACAGAAAGAGTCCCAGTCAGTTTTAAGGTCCCAGTCAGTTTTAAGGATAGGGGGATTCTGATGACGAAGAAGAAGGAAATAATAGTTATAGAGAGATCAAACCATGATCAAAAGCACCTAAGGGTGTATGTAGAGAAACTAAGCACTGACTAATTACCTAAATATATACTTATATGTATGTATGTATGTGTATATATATATATATATATATATATATATATATATATATATATATATATATATATATATATATATATATATATGCATTCATATTTATATATCGTCATGATCATCATAGTCATCATTATCATCATCAAGTCTGCCCTTTTTTATGCTGTTTTGCTAATATAAACATCTCTAGTATCTTCTTTCCTACTAAAAAAAATATTAAGGACCTGTTAAATAGAAAATAAAGTTCATTTATACAATATGTAACGCACTCTCTCCAAGTTTTCTTACTTTTACCACTAGCATTTTCTTCTGAAGCTGCTACCTCTCTACATGCTGACACCCAAATTACTTTAATCTTCTCTGACAAACATTCTATACAAGGTTTTTTTTATAATCTCTGTCTAAGATTATGGCTCCTTTTCTTGTCGTGTTAGAGTCATGCCATACATCCATCAGATCATTCTCTTTTTTTTTTGGTAAATACTACATCATATAAAAACTAAAGTTTATATAAATATGTAAGGATATTGTATCCCAGCATCTAAATAAATATGAAAATAAGTATATATGTTTATATCCATATTTATCTATATTATGTATGCATAAATACTCATCTCGCCTCCTGGATCTTAACCTCCTGGATCTAAACAGGTTTGGAAGCTTTTATTCCTTCTCTTCAGTTTTAAGTCAAGCCTCATTCTACTCCAGGTTTTCCATCATTTAACCATCTTGAGCAGTTGTAATCATTTTTTTAAATCTTCTTATAAAAATATCTCTCTTAAAAAAAATATTTTTTTATTATTGCGAAAAGCCAATGTAAAAAGGTCCTGTCTGATTTTATGCTATTTTATTTTCAGTTTACTAAATTTTGGATTTTATCTTAGATGTAAGTTTCTAGCAACTTTGGAAAATCTTCACTAGTGTCATTAGCTAAGTAATTAGTAAGTCTAACTTTTAATCTCTAATTTATGGTTCTGATCTTCTACCTATAATAAGGCAGAGTTATTCGCAAAGAACTTTTCCTCTAATTTGACTCTTAAATCTAATAGCCATACTGTTCCTGCCATTCCATTTAAACATATTAACATATTGTTAGACATCAACATTACTCCGACTTCCAATGCTAAAGTTAATTTTCAAATAAAATCTTCTACTTCTTTTGGTTCAGGTAAGGTTTTAATTATAGTCTTACCAAAGTATTATTAATAAGTACAAAATAAGCTGTTCCAATTTTTAAAAAAACTCTAGAAAACACTCTGACCTCTCTAACTGTCCTACAATCTTTATTATTAGTTTCTTTATATAAAGGTTTTGAGATTATTAAATCATTTCTTTCTAACTGCAGTACTAAAGTTATCCTCGAAGGTCTACAGCTTGGAACTTGCAGTGGCTTATGAATTTCAACTCCAAAAAAACTCAATTATTTACTGCAAACAGCTATCACAATATTGTTATCATTCCTATATTGACAAATGACAACCTTCTCACTTTCTGACAAGGTCCAAAAGCTTATTTTACATGTAGTTAAACCTGTTTTAACTGCCAAGCCATCTTTTTCTTTTTTCTAAAAAATGTTATCATGGTCACTGCTCAAACTAGCTATCTCTGTTTTAATCGACCAAAACTCATTCTCACTTGGCTTTTTATTTAGAATTGTATTTTTTACTGTATCTGTTCCTTAGTGCTTTAAAACTTAATCCAGTTTTTTTTCTGGCACATCAACAAAACCTCACAACTCTCACATATCTTTATATTTTGCTAACTTATACAACCTACAACTTTTAGGTCTTCAATTAACCATTTTCTTTTTAACCATATCCTCTATTTTCTAATAACTCAGAACTTATAGTGGTTGCTTGCAATCTTGTTTAAAATATATATATGTTTAAAAATATATGCCAGTATTAAATAAATAGTAAATGTATGCATAAATTTATAATATATAAAGTATTATAAATTTTATTTAAGCTACGACTATTAACCCTAAGTTAAATCTTATAATCTTGCCAGGGCCGGGTTTGCAAAAAGTCTCATTTTTAGCCCTGGTTACTTGCAAAAGTAGATCTCTTGTTGTAAAATATTGTTTTTAATTCAAGCTGCTAGTATTTATATAAAACATGAATTATGTTAAAAATATCATATACATATATAAAAAAAAATGTACAGCGCGTATTGCCACATGCATGTCTTGTGTTTGTAAGTTTTGATTTGTAAATTTGGATGAACTGATGACTAGGTACTACTATAATGAAATAATTTGGAACACACAATGTCTTCTAATTTATGTTGAAAGCACATCAAATTAACTTCCATCAAATCAGGGAGTGTTTCTTCTATGTTGGTCATCTATGGGGTCAGACTCATTGATGATTATAATGTCTAGGTTGCTGAATGAGCCTTCCTTTTTATTTCTGTTTTAGTGCAATGAGAATGTTTTTGCTGTTTTAATTACTTTTATTTTAGAGTTGTTCTTATAACAATCGTCTGGATTTATTAGCTACTTGTGATATAGCTGGTGAAGTTGTAGTTTCAAAAGATCAAGATAAAGCTTGTAGTAAATCTGCAACTGCTATTCGTAAAATTGAGGTTTTTTATTTCTAGATACATTTTTATTCTGATACTATTGATTTAAAATTTTTTTTAAATTCTAATGAAATAAAAACATAAATCTTTTTGCTATGTCAAGTTGTTCTTAAGTATTTTTTAATTTATAATTTAGCCTGTCTATCGTGTTGAGTGTACCACAGAGAAATTCAGCGATGAAGTAATTATTGACAGTCCAAATGAAGTAACAGATAAATATATTGAATCATTGGATATTGCTGATTTATACTACAAATTAGGACCAAAGTTTGAACAAGAATTTCAAATCACACAATTCAAATTTATTGACTCAAATAAGGTTTTGTAGTATATTCAATATTTTATTTTTATTGTATTATACATGTGTGTGTGTGTGTGTGTGTGTGTGTGTGTGTGTGTGTGTGTGTGTGTGTGTGTGTGTGTGTGTGTGTGTGTGTGTGTGTGTGTGTGTGTGTGTGTGTGTGTGTGTGTGTGTGTGTGTGTGTGTGTGTGTGTGTGTGTGTGTGTGTGTGTGTGTGTGTGTGTGTGTATATATATATATATATATATATATATATATATATATATATATATATATATATATATGAACACAACAAACTTTCAATATCTTATTTTGTGTCAAACAACTTATTCTCTGACAATCAAAACAAATTTCAATCCTCTTGTTCTACTGCTGAATTAAAAAACTTTTATAAAAGAAATTTTTCATTGGATTAAGTTTTTATAAAAGAAAAGTTTTATTGTGCATTGGTTAAAGTTGTTACAAACAAATGATTTATTGTGCATTGGATAAAATTGTTAGAAAAAAAATGTTTTATTGTGAATTGGATAAAATTGGTAAGGCTATGTTGGTCTTTTCATATTGCCTTATCATAGATGTAAATTGTTTCATCTTCTTTGCCTTTTCATATTGCCTTATCATAGATGTAAATTGTTTCATCAACAGTTCGCTGAAAGCCTTTCTTACCAGCTACTTACTTACTTTTGATTCTTTACTTTTTTTTCCTTCCATTAATAACATTGTTGACTAATTTATAAGCTACAATTTTCAGTAACTGAAAATTTTTTTTTGAAGCACAAGTCAGAGTTTTCCTAATTTTTCTAAAATAAAATCATCAAAGTTATAGAGAATTTTGTTTTTTTGATTTAAATGGTTTAAATTTAATAAAAAAAATTTTAATTAAAAAGTTTAAACCATTTAAATAATTTTCATTCATTAAATAAGCACCATTTAAATCTCCATAAAGATAGAAAACATTCGTAATGTAGAGTAAAAGCATTTATATAAATACCAATTATTTTAAATACCAAACCAATTATTTTAAAGATCTTTTTTAATCAATAGTATTCTTAAACAATTAAAAAATGAACTAATTTTATTGAAATTATCAAAAAGTATTATATATAATATTTATTGATATTTTGAATAAAATTAGTTCATTAAAACAATCGTTAGAAGTAATTTGTAACTTTAAGTAAAAGTTTTTTTTTTGAAACTTTAAAATATTTCAAAAGATTAAGGTTTTAACGTTATTTTTATTGTGTAACAGTAACATAAAATAATTTTTATTTCGAGTTTGAGTTATTTAAGTTATATTTTAGTTTTTATATATTTAATTTTCAACTTTTTTTAGAAAAATCAATTACATAGAATCAAAAAGATTTGTATATGTTTTTTAACAAAATGTGAGCTTATAAATATTATGCTTAAATAAAAAACCATGAGCAATATTTCTGTATAAATATTCTATAGGAAAAAAATATTTTTGGAGCACTTAGGAACAGTCACAGTTATAAGTAATAAATCAATTCACTAAAAAATAAATTACTTTTTATGCCTGAGTAATAAATCAGTTCACTTTCCTGAACTGGCATATTTTTGTATAGTTGTACCCAGTCAACATTTGAAATAAGTTAAATATATATATATATATATATATATATATATATATATATATATATATATATATATATATATATATATATATATATATATATATATATATATATATATATATATATATATATATATAATGCTGAATAATACGTTCTAAGATTGTGTTTTAAAATTGTTGATTACATGGTTTTAGTTATTAAATTTTTAGTTTGAATTCAGTCAAAATCGAATGACAAATGATCCAGATGTTTTGAGAGTTTCAAAATATGATAATATGGCTGCTACAGTTTTGGAGAAAATTGAAAAGCGTGCTGTTCAAAGGGTAAATATTTTGTAACTTGCGCAGGAAAAAGTTCTATTAAGCAAAAGTTTATCATTTTTTTAGTCATACACAATGTTTATGGCATAATTTGTTTTTAAGGACCCTAGGAAGTGCTAGTCATTGGAATCCTTAAAAGTATTTAATTTTTTAAAAATGTTTCTTTGAAAAAAATTTCTTAAAAATTCTTCTTTATCTTTTAAAAAAAGAAAATTTGTTTTTAATTAAAATTATATTCTTAAAGCAAATTCAATGAAAATTCAAAAGCATAATTTTTAGTTTAATCAGCTTGATGCTTTATATGTGCATATTACATTTAAAGCATATTTTAAAATAAACCTTCAGTAGGAAACATACAAAAAATCTTTTTGAACTTTTTAATTATAGTATTTTAATATTCTTAAAAAACCAAAACTGTCCACCCAAACCAATGTGCTTGTTAAAAACACCCCTTAGCACATGCCTGTTAAAAAATTAATATTGTTAATTGTTTTATAAAATTCACATTCAAACTAAAAAATTTATATGTTTGGCATATATCATTAGTTATATTAAGCCAAAAAATTTTGATAAGAAAAAATTCTACTTTTTAGTCATTACTATCCAAAAGTTTCTAAAATTGGCAACAGTTAAGATAATGAATATATATATATATATATATATATATATATATATATATATATATATATATATATATATATATATATATAAGCAAGTAATTACATGGTACATTTTATGTGAAAGTTGTTTTATCTATTGTATTATTATTTGTATTATTGTTTTATCTATTATTGTTTATAAGGCCATCGCTCTTGACATTTCTAAGGCATTTGATAAAGTTTGGCATGCTGGTCTTCTCCATAAGCTTTCTTCTTACGGTGTATCTGGAAACATCTTTAAGATTATTGAATCCTTTCTTTCCAATTGTAGTATAAAAGTTATCCTCGATGGACAGCACTCTTCTTCTTATTCTGTAACCTCAGGGGTTCCTCAAGGTTCAATACTTGGCCCTATACTCTTTTTAATTTACATTAATGATCTTCCAGATTTTCTCACATCTAAGGTGGCATTGTTCGCTGATGATACTATCATTTATTCTTGTCACGATAAGAAGCCAACTTCCTCTGATTGCTTGCAGGGGGCATCTGAGCTTGAAAAGGATCTAACTTCTGCTACAGCATGGGGGTCACAGTGGCTGGTGAACTTTAATTCAGATAAAACTCAATTTTTTTCAGCCAATCGTTATCGCAATAATTTAGACCTTCCTATATTTATGAACGGTAATGTACTCGATGAGTCTCCTACCCTTCATCTTCTAGGATTAACTCTTACTTCTGATCTTTCTTGGAAACCTTATATCAAATCCGTTGCAAAATTAGCATCTGCTAAAGTCGCTTCTCTTTATCAAGCTCGTCACTTTCTTACTCTGGATTCTATTCTCTATCTCTATAAATCTCAAATCCGCCCTTGTATGGAATACTGTTGCCATATCTGGGGTGGATCTTCTAATGATGCCCTATCTCTTTTAGACAAGGTGCAAAAACGCATTGTAAACATAGTTGGACCTACTCTTGCAGCCAACCTTCAACCTCTGTCACATTGTCGTAATGTTGCTTCTCTTTCTCTTTTCTACAAATACTATGATGGGCACTGCTCTAAAAAGCTAGCGTCTCTTGTGCCATCTACAAAAATTCATTCTTGTGTTACTCGTCATTAAATTAAGTCTCATCCTTTTTCTGTTACTGTTCCTAAGTGCTCCAAAAACTCTTATTCGTATAGTTTTTTTCCTCGAACATTAGTTCTTTGGAATTCGCTTCCTTCATCTTGCTTTCCTGATTCATATAATCTGCAATCTTTTAGGTCGTCTGTCAATCGTTATCTTGCTCTACAATCTTCATCTTTTCTCTTCCAGTAACTTCCAACTCTAATAAGCGCTCACTTGCAGCCTTGTTGGAAGCGAAGATGTTTAAAAAAAAAAAAAAACTCTAAGTTGTTATAGCTATTGTAATGGGTTATACAATAATATGCTGAAGTTTGTAAAATATCGTTATTTATAATTTTCAAGGATTCGCTACTCTGTTAGTGAAAAAGTTGTGACGTATTTCACAATTATCAGTTATTTTTCTTAGTGTAAGTGTTTATGCTGACCGTACTTAGGTTCTGCTGTCAATGGTTTATCATGCCAGTCAACTCAGTCAATTTTTTTTTCAATTTAAAAATGTTGAAAGCAATCAAACCACATTCTGACTGTTAAAGTGTCTAAATTAAGAAGGTGTAAATGTTCTTTATAGCTGAATTATTTTAGACCGTGAGGTACTTTTGTAGCTTTTTTCTGAATATGTTCGATGTGCTTTACTGCAGAATTTGAATAATTATTACATACTGGAGTTGCAACTTATATATGCGGTCTGATATAAACAGTGTATAATTTATTTCATAGTTTGTTGTCTCTACTAATAAATGAATTTATCATCCATCCTAAAATGTTATTAGGTTTAGATGCAGTTTCAGAAGTGTGTGTATCCCACTTGCCATTTGACGTAATGGTAATGCTAATATCATGCTTCTTTTTAGATTTTGAAATATTTATGGTAGTTAAAGTTGCAGCATCAAACATGAAGTGATTATTTGGTTGTTTTTTTTTACCCATATGCATCACTTTACATTTTTTGTGGTTCAGCCTCATGTGCCATTTTTCAGACCATTTCATAATAGCATTTAAATCTAACTGTTGCTTGTCTGAATCTGGAGCATCTTTAATTTGAGCAATAATTTTGCAGTCATCCGCTTACAACTTACAACGGAAGTAATTGATAACTGACAGTAAATCATTTATATAAAGGATGAACAAAAATGGTACAAAGTCCTTGAAAGTCTGTACCTTGCAAAGTCTAAGACTTTGTACGGTACAGACTGAACAAAACTGGACAATATTTGGCTGAATTTATTTGATTGGTTTTGTGCAAAGACACAATGTTAGCAATTTTGCAAGCATTGGGGACAGAACCTTCTTGGAGTGAGTTGTGTAGTATTTTTGTCAGAGGGTATGCTATTGTATATTCTTTAAGAACCCATGAGTGCACATCCTCTACACCTGGAGCTTTATATTGGCAGAGTTTACTGAGACTTAAAGGGATTCCAAACTCCCAACACATGTTGTGTTCATATTAAAGATAATGTTAAAAAAAAAGGTTTGAACCAAGTTTTTTTGATTAAAAATAAATAATGAATGCATACCGTGAAAAACAAATGTTGTTGTTTTTCGCCGAAGCTCGTCTTCTCCATTTTTTTCAACCACTTGGAGTCTTCAAATTATGCGTCGCAATCTACAGACTTTGGCAATTCCTTTGAAGCGCGTTTAATTCATAAAAGTTTTAGTATTTGACATCACGGTAGACTTTTAACAAAAGAAAAGTGTAATTAAACTAAGCTGCGTTTTTCTACTGTAGTATTTTTTTAACATACAGCAAAACAAATTTATTTGTATTATTTTTCTAAACATCGCAAAGAAAAATTTGTAAAAAGAAAAAATGATAAATTATTTTTATTTTATAGGAGTAACTTGTTTTTTACAGATATCTTAATAATTTTTCGATTTATATATCTTATATTTCTTTTGTTTTTAAATTAAAACAAATATTAAAGCTTTACTTACCAATCTTACGATTTTCTTACGAGTATTTTACATTATATAGAACATTATATATACGGTCTCTCGTTTTTGTGCAAGAGAGCGCAGTATTATATATTCTAAATCTTACATTAAACAATCAAAACTATTTTCTAACTTCTCTGGTTATTTTTACACTATGAAGTTTTTTTGTTTTTCCGTCGAAAAAAAAGTAATTACAAGCAATTGCTTTCATTTAATTAGAGATATTTGATAAACTGTTAAATTTTTTTATTAAAAAATTTTTTTGATTATGCTGATTAAATTTAAATTGCTGAACTTGCTAAATTGGATATGGATAAAAAAAAATCATTTCATTTTGCATTTGATTTTTGATAACGAAACTTTTGAAATGTCGGCAACTCCATACTAATTAGAACCTGTTAAGGTTATTAAAAAAGAACAAGAACGCATTAAACAATACAGTTGTCAGTAGTATCAGAAAGTTTTAATGTTGTTATGGCTAAGGCGTCAAAAATGAATAACAGCAATAACAGCACAAGCCGGCATTATGAATTTTAAATAATAAGTTTACTGTTCAATACTTTATAACCACCAAATTAAAAACATGAAGTACGTATATTTCTGCCCGTTTTATACAATTAGTATATATAGTAAGTAAATATAGTTAAAATTAATATTTTAATAATTACAGTTGCAATATAACAAAAAAAAGATGTTAAATGTTGAACTTTTTATTTAGTTATTCATTTTTTACCTACTTTTGTTATAAAAAGACTTTAGTACCCCCGTCATTTAAATAATTTGTTTTAAATATATTTCAATGTGATTATTCAAACTAATTTTTTTTGTTTGACTTCCCCAAGCAAATTGAGACAAAATATCGTCTAACCAAAGTAAAATGTTGTTACTAATTTTATACGGGTAATTAATGTAAAACATTTATTTATCAGAGTCTTATAATTGAGATAATAATTTTATACGGGTAATTAATGTAAAACATTTTTTTATCAGAGTCTTGATTGAGATAATAAATATTCATAATTTATAAACATTAAATATATGGCGCAATAACAATTTATAGCAACGAACCAGCATAAAATATTTAAGGTTTTTAATATCTTTTTAAATATTAAAAGTAGGAAAAAAAAAAACTAAACAAATAACCAAAAAAACTTCGACTAAAAATCAATAAATATTTCCAGAGTTTCTTTTGTTAAAAGTCTACCGTGACGTCAAATACTAAAACTTTTATGAATTAAATGCGCTTCAAAGGAATTGCCAAAGTCTGTAGATTGCGACGCATAATTTGAAGACTCCAAGTAGTTGAAAAAAAGACGAGCTTCGACGAAAAACAACAACATTTGTTTTT